CTATGACTTCTATGCAATAAAATCCAGAGTAATTTAGAAGTAAAGACGAAAGCATAGTTTGGAAATTTAAATATACATTTTAAAATCAAAGGCAACATCGTGCCGAAACCGGCTTGGCTCAGTGGATAGAGCGTCGGCCTGTGGACTGAAGGGTCCCAGGTTCGATTCCGGGCAAGGGCATGTACCTTGGTTGCGGGCACATCCCCAGTGGGGGGTGTGCAGGAGGCAGCTGATTGATCTTTCTCTCTCATCAATGTTTCTAGCTCCCTGTCCCTCTCTCTTCCTCTCTCTGAAATTACTAAAAACATATTTTTGTATATATATATATTTTTAAAAAGTCATCTGTTAGAGATATATACTAGTACTTATTTATAGATAAAATTATATGATGTATGAAATTTGCTTAAAATAATATGGGAGGAAAGGGAATTGAGTAAGGATATAGATGAAAGAAGATGAGCCATGAAACCATGAGCTGATAATTGTTGAAGCTGGGTGATGGGTACATGGGGGTTCATTAATCATTCTGACCATTTTGTATATGTTTGACATTTTCTGTAATGAAACTTTTAATTCTCACCCAAGGATATCTTTTTATTGATTTTGAGAGAGACAGGAAGGGAGAGAGAGAGACAGAGAATCATCAATCAATGGCCTCCTATTCGCACTCCAGTCCACCCACACACCAAGAGGTCACAGTTCGATTCCAGGTCAGAGCACATGCCCAAATTCCAGGCTCAGTCCTCAGTGGGGGAGTGTGCCGGAGGCAGCCGATTGGTATTTCTCTCTCTCTCCCTCTCCCTTCCTCTTTCTCTGAAATCAATAAAAAAAAATTTTTTAAAAAAGTAAAACCACACAAATTGGAGGAAAAGCAACCACTAATTTTAGGACAAACTCTAGCCCTTCTGAGCCAGTACCCTGGCCTCACCTGAGTGTAGTGGAATCAATAAAAAAATATTTTTTTAAAAAAGTAAAACCACACGAATTGGAGGAAAAGCAACCACTAATTTTAGGGCAAACTCTGGCCCTTCTGAGCCAGCACCCTGGCCTCACCTGAGTGTAGTGGGTGCAGGTGGCATTGAGGGCACACTCCGCCGCCTCATGGCTGTACCGCTGGCCTTCTGCAAACCACAGGCCCACCACGTGGACGAAGGATGCCGAGCCCACTGGCAGCAGCTGCACATTCCAGCCCACCTGTGAAGTGGCCCCCGGAGTGGGCACCAGGCTTGGGGCCGGGGCGCCCTGTGAAGTGGCCCCCGGGGTGGGCACCAGGCTTGGGGCTGGGGTGCCACAGCGGGCTGCCCTGGCCCGAGCCTGTTGGGCTAGGCTCTCACTCCAGTCCTGGGGGCAGTACAAACAGAACCATCAGCGGGACCCTCCCTTGCCATCGCCCACACATTCCCTGGGTTGCTAGTTGCAGAGAGCACTGGGCCAGGTGTCCTGCTTGGCTGTCTGACCACTCTGAGCGGGTTTCACCCAGTTCACCGGGCCAGGGAAGGTCAGATAGGGCCGGCACAGAGGGCTCCAAGGTGTGTTGGGAAAGGCCCTGGTGCTGTCTGGACTCCCAGCCCAGAGCCGCTCCACCCAGGACTGGGAGCCTCCATCCTGCTGACTCCTGTGGGCACCCTTAGCCCTGATCATGGCACCACCATCTGGGGGACAGGTGCCCCGGAGGGAGGAATGTCACCCAGGCGATGGGATGGGTTTCTGCGGTAATCTTTTCCACCTGGGGAGGTGAGCCCTGGAAGGACCCAGGCCTTTCACACTGGTTCTGTGTTTGCCATGAGGTACCCCTGGCCCTGGCCATGTTCAGTTGCTCCCACTTGGCTTCCCTTCTGTGATGCCAAAAGCTGCAGCAGCCGGGCCTCTGTACCCTATCCCCCCACCCGGGCCTTGGCGTGTGCAGGGCACCCACAGGGAAGGGGGCAGCAAGGGTGTTGGAGGTCTCCTGGTGCCAGGGCTTTGGTCCCAAAGAGCAGAGTTTTCTGGAGCAGGTGTAATCTGTTCTCCCTACCCAGGCACCAGCTGACCTCCCCGCACCCCAGCCCTGCAGCACCCTCTCTTCTGAAACAAGGCCCTCTGCAGGTGGGATAAGGTATATGATCCTGTTGCCATGCCCTGGTCCACCTAGACACCTCATCACAGCTATGTGACCTCCGGCAGTCCCCTAATCTGCGTAAGACTCAACATCCTCATCTGTAAAATGGGAACACTAAGGGACCTATAGACTGAGATTGTCGTGAGGATTAAATGGATGCAGGGCCCAGCTTGCGTGGCTCAGTGGTTGAGCATTGACCTATGAACCAGGAAGTCAGGGTTCGATTCCCAATCAGGGCACGTGCCCAGGTTGTGTGCTTGATCCCCAATAGGGGGCGTACAGGAGGCAGCTGATCCATGATTCTCTCTCATCCTGGATGTTTCTATCTCCCTCTCCCTTCCTCTTTGAAATCAATAAAAACATATTTTTAAAAATAAAGTAAAATCAATGGATGCAGGGAGTAGAGTGCATTGTGAGGGCCTGACTCACAGCAGGCCCTGGGCAGGGGGCCATAGTGACTTTACTGCTGATGGGGGCTGGAGCTGGGAGCCACAGGGCCCACTGGGGCGCCTCAGCAGCCCTGAGCCACCCCCAGGGCCTCAACCCCACGGGAAAAATCGGTAGAAGCCCACAGGGGTGCCCTGTACCAAGCCATAGGTATGAGGGAGGCTGACTGGGGACTTCTTTTTGCACCTTTTAGGAAGTGCTGTTTTCTAAGAGTTTGGCTGGAGGGGGAGCCAGGACCTGGGCCTGCAGGAGTGGCAGAGCCGCTGCAGCCCAGGGAAAGGGGGAGAAGTGACCCCTCCCATCTGCCTGTCCCACCCCCACCTCCTGGGAAACTGACCCAGGAGCTCTCAAGGTCACCGGTGCTCAGCCAGCGGAGGAGGAGTTTGTGGGAGGCAGTCATGGGGAACCCTGCCCGCTCCCACCCTGCCCCTCCCTCGCTCCCAGGCCTGTCAGCAGGGGCTGGGGTAGCGGAGGTCCCATACCACGGGTGCAGAGTTTCTGGGCCCCAGGATGACACCTCCAACCCCAGAGCCCCAGTCAGGGGTGATGGGAAACCCTGTACCGCCTTCCGCAGTCCCCGTGAATGAGCAGGGCACTTGGGGGGGCCGCTTCACCCAGACAAGCCCGTGAGGAAGCAAGCACTGGGTCCCGGCCCCACACAAGCCCCTCCCTGAGCAGGATGCTTCTCCCTCCATCCTGCTGGGACTCCTTTGTGAGCTCCGTCCATGCCTCCTGGTCTCCAGGACAACGGGATGGGATGTGAGGAAAGGCCACAGGACTGCCCTTCTGGGACGCAGGAAGCTGTGGAGCCCCCAGCAACCAGGCCCGGCTGCTACGGGCAAGGTGACTGGCTGCCCCTTCTGCCCTGCTCAGGTGGAAGGGCGCCTGGTGCCAGCATGGCCGCCTGAGCCCTCTCCGGGACTGCCCCGCCAGCCGCCCCCTCTGTGAGCCGGGGCCCTGGGCCTGGCACTCACCAGTCTCTGCATGTTGGCCGCGGGGGGGTGCACCCGGCTGCGCAGGCGATTGTGCAGGGAGAGGAGCAGGAAACCCTCCTTCCTGCTCAGGGCTGGGAGGGGAGACAAGGTCAGGGCCACCTGGGTGATGGGGCCTGTGGCCTGGCTGATAGGGTGGGGTCACCACGCAAGGTGAGAGTGCAATCCTGCCCTTAGGAAACAAGACCTCAGGCTGGACAGGAGCAGGTGTGGGAAACCGGGAGCAGAGCGATGGGGGGACTAAGAGGTGGAGAAGAGTCGGGTGAGAGGACAGGCGTAAAGGAGTTTGGGCTGAGAGCTGGGTGTGCAAGACAGAGGCAATGGGGCTGGGGGTTGGGTGTGGGGAGGGCGCCAGCCCTGGGCTCCCAGCAGCCCCCCGGCTCCAACTCCTCTTGGCCACTGTGGTTCTCCTAGGGCCCCAACTGCAAACTCTAGGCCGTGTTCCTCCTTGACCCCCAAGCCTGGGCCCACTCCCCTTCATTCGTCCTCCTCCCCTGCCCAGCCTCCCCCATTCATCTCGGCCCCTGGACTGGCCGAGGGTTGCTCTTTAGACCACATCAGCCTGCCCAGGGCTCAGGCCTCAAACTAGCTTCTAGAAGCCCCCAGGACCCCTGTGACACATCATAGCTCCTCCACCTTGCCTCACCCAGGGCCCCTTACCTCCGGGCATTGGAGCCGGCTCCCCCCGCAGCTGGAGCCCAGCCTCCCCCATTCATCTCGGCCCCTGGACTGGCCGAGGGTTGCTCTTTAGACCACATCAGCCTGCCCAGGGCTCAGGCCTCAAACTAGCTTCTAGAAGCCCCCAGGACCCCTGTGACACATCATAGCTCCTCCACCTTGCCTCACCCAGGGCCCCTTACCTCCGGGCATTGGAGCCGGCTCCCCCCGCAGCTGGAGCGGCCCCACCTCTGCCCAGGCCACGCAGAGGAGAGCCAGGAGCACGGGCAGGAGGCCAAGCCCGCGGCCCCCCAGCCCAGAGGAGGGCTCCAGTCGGAGCATGGGAACGTAGGGCGGCCTGGGAGCAGCCTGGCTCCGCCGTCCACGTCCAGCTGGCTTCACAGGCTGGACGGAGCTATTCACAATCTCGAGGAGTCAGGCTGGGCTGGCAGACAAAAGGAGGAGGCTGGTGAGTAATCATTATGTCCAAACAAGCCTCCCATCCAGGCTGGCATGAAAAAGGAGAGACAGCTGCAATCCCGGTCGCCCCTCCGACAGCCGACCTACCAGCCAAGCGGTGTGCACTGACCCCGTGGCCCCTGCTAATCATTGCAGGGTTCTTAGAGCCCTCGGGGAGCCCTCACAGACCTTGCTGATTGGCCCACAGACATTCCAGGGCTGCGGATTAACAAGTGATGGCAGTGTCCTGGCCAGGACAGTGTGTGTCCTTCATCAGTGGCTTCCACTCCCAGCCCCCAGCCCAGGCAGGAGGCTGGGGCCTCAGCCGTGTGCCCTGCGTGCGGGCAGGAACTGGGCAAGACCCCAGGGGAGTTCTTTCCTTTCTTGGGAAGCTCGTCCCAACCCCCAGCCATGAATTAAACATGGGCAGGTGGTAACTGTACACCAGACAGGTGCCATCGGTGGGTGGGCACTGGGGCCGTAGGCTCGAGGGAAGTGGGCTGGGAGGAAAGGGTGCTGTAGGAGAGTCTGTCTGGGCAGTGTGGGGGTTGGGCCCCCCGACACCCCTCCTCCCTCATGGTCTCCCATGTGACTACTGGCCAGGAGAAGGCAAGGCAAGAGGCAGGAGAGCATGTGACACCCTTGGCTGACTTGAGTCCTGCAGGGAACAAGTTGGCCCCTAGACAAACAGGCGGTGTGGTTAGGGGGCAGCACATTGCCATGATGCGCGGGGTCTGGTCATGGCTACACAATCCAACAAGAGTATATTGAAGAAGATCTGTACCACGGCTCACATTCCTTAGAAAATAAAAGGCTGTCTTGCAGGGCACAGGCAAATGTCCACATTCCCCACAGCGCGGATCAAAGGTTATTCAGCCGTGCCAAAGGACAGCCTTGCCAGCCAACTACCTCTTCCTTCTGGAGTTTGTGCGACCCCTGACCCCTGGGCTGGCACTCTCTAAGAGCCAGGTGTCAACTCCTGGGAGCTTTGCTGAGATGCAAGTGGGCGTGGCTTCCCGGGGAAGCTGATGGAACATGGGTGTCATTGTGGGTGCTGGGGAGTGGGGCCAGGCAGGCACAAGGTCCCCAAAGCCAGCCGGGGCTTGCAAGCCCCCCCGAATACCCGGGACCTTAGGAGCTTCTACTCCCGCAAAGTACGACCAGACAACCTCAAACGTATCCCGTCCAGATCCCAGCAGTGCTGTAACCTTTCCTGTAGAGCTGACAATGCATGTTCACCTATGTGAGTTCATGTAATTGTCACAGCAACCCTGTGAGACGCGGTGCCCATGTTGTAGATGAGGAAGCTAGGCTCAGCGTGTCTGAGGGACTCATCCAAGGGCGCCCGGCAAGCGTGTGGTGTGTGCCAGCTAACCGGAGTCTTTGCCTTCACATTCCCAGACGCTGGTGAAGATCTGATTTAATTCACATCTTGGCCCCGTGAGTTCAGTTTCCTCAGCCCTGCTCTACGGTAACAAAGGACGCAATTCCCGCCCCTGGGCTTCGGTGACCAATGTGGCTAGCTCTCTGGTCGTAGCACAATGCAGGCACTTGGGACAGGTGGTAGGAAAGTATATTTTGGGGCCTGGGGTGGAGCGACTTTCCAGGGGCCCTGGCTCACTGCACGAGGAGGTCAGGGTGGATAAAACAGCAGACCAGACATCTGAGGGCCTGGGTTCTAACCCAGACTCTGTATGACACTGGGGTTGCCACTTCCAACCCTGGGCCTCATGGCCCAGTGGCGTGCAGCAGGGATGACGTCCTCTGCGGGACTCCCTCACCTCCCTCACCAGGGCGTTGCACTTCAGTTTCCATGAGAATTCCTCATGGATCCAGACTTCTTACAGGCTCCTGCTGTGTGGTTGGGTGGGTTTTGAGAATGGACATCCCCCGCCCTGCTTTTTAAAAATATATTGTATAGTATTATTTATTTATTTATTTTATTATTTTTAGCGTTTAGTGCATTAACTTATTGTTTACTTTTAAAATAATTCTTTATTGTTGAAAGTATTACCTACATCCCCCTTTACCCCCATTGACTCCCTCCAGCCCCAGGCCTTCAGCATCCTATTGTCTGTTTTTACGGGTCATGCATACGAGGTCTTTGGTTGATGACCTCCTACCCAACCACCCTCTCCCGCCTTCCCTCTGAGATTCTGTGCTCTGTTTCATGCTTCTATGTCTCTGGATCCACTCCATTCATCAGTTTATTTTGTTACTTAGATTCTACATATGAGTGAGATCATGTGATACTTGTCTTTCTCTGACTGGCTTATTTCACTTAGCATGATCCTCTCCAGGTCTCTCCATGCTGTCTCAAAGGGTAAGAAATCCTTCTTTTATACTGCTGCATAGTATTCCATGGAATAATGGTACCACAGCTTTTTTCTCCCCTCACCTACTGATGGGCACTTGGATATCCCCTTTCTTGTAAGGCAAGTTTCCCCAATAAGCAATCTCTATTTTTTTTTTGGTCAAAATGTCCTTCCTTTTTTAAAAAGGCTGAAATCCTTACATATTTATTGTATTATTTTTAAATTTATTTTAGAGAGAGAGAGACAGAAACAGAAATCAATTTGTTATTCCACTCATTTATGCATTCATTGATTGATTAATTCTTGTATGTGCCCTTGTGCCCTGACTGGAGATCAAACCTGAATCCTTGGCATATCTGGACGATGCTCTAACCAACTGAGCTACCTGGCCAGGGCAGCAACTTCGTTCTGGTCTCTGTCAGCATAGATTTGCTTTATTTGTTCTGAATTTCATATACACAGACTCATAGAATATGCACACCTTTAGGCCCGGATTCCTTTGCTTCACATCATGTCAGTGAGATTCTTGCGTGTTGTTGCCTGTATCAATAGGTTGCTTTTGTTGTTCTTATTTGTTTCTCATTGCTGGTAGTATTTCATATTTCCATTCTCCTAGTGATGGACATTTGAACTACTTTAAGCTTTTATTATCAATAAAGTTGTACAATTTAAAATTTTCTTTTTAAAAAATATTTTTTATTAATTTTTAGGGAGAGGGAGAGAGAGTAACTTCTATATGAAAGTGATAAATCCATCAGCTGACTCTCACACACTCCCTACAGGGGATCGAGCCCGCAGCCCAGGCATGTGCACTGACTGGGAATGGAACCAGCAACCTCTCAGTGCAACCAACTGAGCCACACTAGCCGGGCTTCTTTTCTTGTAATAAAAACCTGGAAAAGGAAGAAGAGACAAAATTGCCCAAATCAGGAAGAAAAGAGGGGACATCATCACAACTGATACTCCAGAAAACAAAAAGTTGTAAGAAAATGTGGACAAAACGAACAACGTAAGCACAATGGCCAAATTCCTAGAAAGATAAATTACCAAAATTGACTCAAGAAGAAATGGAAAATCTGAATAGACATATCACGATAAAAGAAATTGAATGATTGATTAAAAGTCTTTCCACAGAGAAAAGCTTAGGTGTGAATCGCTTCTCTGATGAATTCTATCAAATACTTAAGGAAGAAATAATGCCAATCACACATAGCCAACAGGTGAATTTCATGGCATGTAAACTATATACCAGTGAAGCTGTTTAATAAATTCTATTTTTTAAAAAATATATTTTATTGATTTTTTACAGAAAAGAAGGGAGAGAGATAAAGAGAAACATCGATGAGCAAGAAACATTGATCAGCTGTCTCTTGTACACCCTCTACTGGGGGATGTGCCCGCAACCAAGGTACACGCCCTTGACCGGAATCGAACCTGGGATCCTTCAGTCCGCAGGCTGACGCTCTATCCACTGAGCCAAATCGGCTAGGGCAGTGAAGCTGTTTAAAAAACAAACATAGGAAAAACTAAACAGCTTATTTTATGAGTCTAGCAGTACACCAATACCAAAAATATTCTAAGAAAAGAATTTAGGGTGAAGTATACTGGTGTCTACAATGTATTTTGAAATGAACCAAAACCAAGATAGAGTCATGAATGAATATAGGAATTAATAGATGAATCAATTTGTGATAAAGGATGTTTAGTAAAATGATAAAACCCGGAATTAGGTGTTTGGGTGTTCACTGTAAAATTCTGTCAACTTTGCAGTATATTTTAAATCTTTAAAAATAAAACAAAAGGCCCTGGCCGGTTTGGCTTGGTGGATAGAGTGTCAGCCTGCGGACTAAAGAGTCCCGGGTTTGATTCCAGTCAAGGGCACATGCCTAGGTTTCAGGATCGATCCCCGGTAGGGGCGTTCAGAAGGCCAACGATCAATGATTCGCTATCATCATTGATGTTTCTATCTCTCTCTCCTTCTCCCTTCCTCTCTGAAATCCATAAAAATATTTTAAGTAAATAAATGAAATGAGAGAAATGTAATTATAGGGCATGACATGGTTCAGTTGAGAATAGCTTTTATGAAGTCAGACAATGTAAATAATAATGATTTAATCCAAAAAGCAAAATAAAAACAAAGTTAAAAAAATAGGTGGCAAGTGGGGAGAAAGAGGGTGTGTGGTATGAGAGCCAATCATTTACCAGGTCAGAAAAGACTATCTGAATACTGAACACTTGAATGCTGGCATTCAGACCCAGGCCGGGTCTGCTCCAAAGTCATTCTCTGGACCAACCTCAACAAACCCTTCCATCTTGGCCTCTGAGGGCCTTGAGTCCAAGGATGCCCCAGATCCAAGTGTCTGGGGGTCCCTAACTCCACGGAGCCTCGATTGGGAAGGACAGTGGGCGGGGATTGGCCCACCCCTCCTTCAAGGCTTCTCAGTCCTTGCGCGCACAGGAACCTCGCTGGGTTATCTCCTCTGGGGGAGACTTGATTAGTCTGACAGAGGTTTGTAATTAACCCTGACATCCTGCACTCCGTAGGAGGGGCCTGTGAACCCAGGAAATCTTAATTCATATGCCACAGCGCCACCTACTGGTCAGTTAATATGGCCAAAGGCGGTAAACTCATCCCATCACTACAGGATTAGCCCCATTTCACAGATGGGCAAACAGAGCTTTTGCTCTTCTCTTTTCCCAATTCATCTAATCATATATTAAATGCCAGGCACAATGCTAGGTGTTGGGGCTTTAAAGATGCCAAGTCCTCACTAGAGGGATTTACGGAACCAGCAGGGGAGAAAAACGACATATGTGACAGAAAAGGGTACAGTGGGGACACCAAAGGGAGGCAAACCATCTTGGGGAAGAAAAAGCTTCCCTGAGGAGGTGGTGGTGACACGGGCTGGGTTTTTGAAATCCAGGAGGGGTCTGCCAGGCTGCCGGGGGGCAGGGCGTTGTGGGAGGTCATTTGATTCTAAATTCAGAACGATCCTACAAGCACAGCACAGTGGGT